TTCGCACCTGTTCCATCAATTGCTAATCATTAGAAGTTCTTGATGAATCATAATTTGTTTATATCTGAAATATGATTACTTTTCATATACAGATATACACAAGTATACTTTATCTGTTGCACGAGTAGAGATCTTATCTTCATCTTGATTACCACTAATTTCGAGTGCATTTAATTTCATTTTAATTCAAAGCGCACGAGTTAAAAATGATTTATACTCATTTTCAATGCAATTTATAAGGGTTATCCAGATAGTTTCGATGGTCTATTAAAAGAAAACAAGTATATACTTATAGAAAAAAAAATAAGTATATACTTATAGAAAAATTTTATTGCTTTTTAAATTACATACCTTATGTTATTTTTTTACCTAATTCTCACCGTTGTGATGCACTCATTAACGGACCACTAAGCGTTGTATCCCTAGTTGCTGTCTGTGAAGTAAACCACATGGTGACAGCTTCTTTGATCCTGTTATTGTGAAATCACCGGCCAGCAAAGGAAAGGTTTCAAATTAATTTTCTCTTTAACTGTTATTAACCAAAGACAGTCGCTCGTTCCGTTTATCGTCGTGTACATTTTTGCGTCACTCCATTGAAAAGTTGCACCATCTCCGTATCATTAAATTACTCATTGCATGTTCTCTATATATTTTATAAATTTGTCGGTGAATTTCAAACGCATTAATGTTCTTACATTTAAGAAACGGGCTGATGTAGACTATATTTCACAAGCAACGCGATTTATTTAAACATTATAAATACACTACATTTGCATGCATTGAACCAATAATTGAAAATTGCGTCCCTTGTCAACGAATCAACAAACTTTATGGCATGCATGCGCATCATTGCGATCACATCGTTGCGGCACTAAATTAAAAAAAAAAACGGAACTTACTTTCTGGATAGTCCTCGTAATTTTAATCTTGATTCAACTAACTCTTCGACTAACTTTTCATCTCTTTTTAGTTCTAACAATTAGAAAAGAATAAAAAGCAAAATGAACCGAAATTAAAGTTAATCTATATTGGTAGAAATAGGCGTTAAACGTTTCAGGATTCGAGGTTTAATCGCGAAATAGACGCTTTAACGGGATACCGGACGCGTGCCTTACTGTGCATGCCTATTAAAGATTGCAACGGTGACGTAATCGGAGTGGCACAGGTGATCAACAAGCTTGGCGGCGAGGGACAATTTACTGCACAGGATGAGAAGGTTTTCGCTGGTTATTTACAGTTCTGTGGTATCGGTTTAAGAAACGCTCAACTCTACGAAAAGAGCCAATTGGAGGTGAAGAGAAATCAGGTAAGCATTAATTTTGTCGAACTGATCGAAATGACGACAAGAAGAATCTAATTCGTCTTAATATTAACATCAGGTTTTACTGGATTTGGCTAGAATGATTTTTGAGGAACAAAGTACTATAGAGCACATGGTTCTTAGAATTCTTACGCACACACAATCATTGATTCAATGCCAACGTGTTCAGGTAATTGACATAAATGACCATCGTGAAGAGAATGTGATTACACGAGCAAAGAAGCGCGTTACAATGTTATAATTGTTTTCAGGTGTTGCTCGTGCACAAAGCTTCAAAAGGAAGTTTCTCGCGCGTTTTTGATTTCGAAGCGAATGATCTCGCTGGCGAGGATTCTGATTCTCGCACTAGGTAAATCATTTATAATTATGTCTGTAAATCATTTATAATTATGGCTTTTTTCCGATAAGTTTATTATAGGTTTTTAATTAAATTTTCTTTTTGCAGTCCTTTCGAGAGTAGGTTTCCTATTAATGTTGGTATCACGGGTTACGTAGCAACTACTGGTGAAGTAAGTATCGTTCAATTATTTAATAATCGTATTTTATAAAGCATTAGTGCTCGAGACGATATAAAAAAATGATTTTTTAGACTGTCAATATATCGAACGCTTATGAAGATCCGAGATTCGATCCAATGGTGGACGATGGTACCGGTTTTAGGCATCGTACAATTCTTTGTATGGCTATTAAGAATTCATCTGGTCAAATAATCGGCGTTATTCAGCTAATTAATAAATTCGATGATCTTCCTTTTACAAAAAACGATGAAAATTTTGTTGAAGCGTTTGCGATCTTCTGCGGAATGGGAATTCATAATACGCACATGTGAGTTTACTTGTGTATCTTTTTTATTTCGAATATTCGACTTGATTTATCGGATCTTCAGGTATGAAAAGGCTGTGATAGCGATGGCAAAACAAAGTGTCACTTTAGAAGTACTGAGTTACCATGCATCGGCATCGTTGGAAGACGCGCAAAGATTGAGGGTTGGTGTGCTTCAGCTTCACACTGTATATTTCAGCTATATATAATATTTAAACCATTAATTAACCGTTTATATCATCATGTATTTTCTGTCTCGACAGAGTTTAAGAGTCCCGTCATCAGCGCATTTTCAATTGCACGATTTCAAATTTGACGATATACATATGGAAGACTACGAAACTCTTACTGCGTGTCTCAGGATGTTTCTCGATTTGGACTTTGTTGAACGATTTCACATCGATTACGACGTACTTTGTCGTTGGTTGTTAAGTGTAAAGAAGAACTATCGGAACGTTACATATCATAATTGGCGACATGCTTTTAATGTAGCTCAAATGATGTTTGCTATTTTGACGGTGAGCTTGTTTTTATTGATCACAATGTAGATTGTAATTTATGAAACGAAAATTGTAATCATTTTTCATCGTTTCTAGTCTACACAATGGTGGAAAATCTTTGGTGAAATTGAATGCCTCGCACTCATCATTGCATGTTTGTGTCATGATCTCGATCATCGTGGAACAAACAATTCTTTTCAAATTAAGTGAGCACTTATATTTACTTTAGTATTTATGAGAACTTGGCACTCGATATTAACAATTTTGTTTTAATACGCATTAAAGCTCAGTTTGTAACCGTTTGTATCATCTTTTATTTATTTGTACTTTAAGAGGTTCAAAATTATAAAGGATTGAAAAAACATGGTAGCAACATGAGATATTTTAAATCTACGAGAGGGTACTATTTCCAAATCATTTGTACATGGTAGTACCACTAGCAAAAGAAAAAGAAGATTGTGCAAACGGGAATAGATCGCTTAAATTAATGCATATTTAAAAGTATTTATATCCTTTATGTTATTACTAGAGTTTTATATCCATAAATGTTTCACTTTTTAGAGCTTCGTCACCATTGGCACAGCTGTATTCGACCTCGACAATGGAACATCATCACTTTGATCAGTGTCTGATGATTTTGAGCAGCCAGGGTAACCAAATTTTATCAAATCTCTCGCCAGAAGAATACTCACGCGTGGTAAAGGTTCTTGAAGAAGCGATACTTTCTACTGATCTGGCAGTTTACTTCAGAAAACGTGGCGCTTTTCTTAATTTAGCGCGCAGTGGTGGCTATAACTGGGGATTTGGTGATCATCGAGAGCTTCTACGCGGAATGTTGATGACAGTCTGTGATCTAGCCGCCATTACGAAACCATGGGAGGTTGAAAAGAGAGTAGCCGAACTTGTTAGTAGCGAATTTTTCGAACAAGGCGACATAGAAAGGCGGACACTCAATATTACACCTATAGTGAGTAGCATGAGTAACAGTAAATTGTATATAAACAAAATATTCTTGAATACACTCGTTTTCTGATATTGTAGGACATTATGAATCGAGAGAAAGAGGATCAACTACCAATGATGCAAGTTGGTTTTATTGATTCGATCTGTCTACCTATCTATGAGGTATGTACAGTGTAACAAGAAATAATGATTCTTTTTTATAAAAATTCTAATTTATCTTTTCGTACACTGGACAGGCGTTCGCCCATCTGTCGGACAAACTTGTGCCACTCGTCGACGGAGTCAGTATGAATAAGCAACATTGGTTGGAGATTGCTGAAAGCAAATGCCAGATGGAAACTTGTACAAATCATGATAGGACACTATCGACATCGGCATCCGACAATGAAGAGACCAGTGAGCAAGCGGACCAGTAGTTATTATGATGATATTACTGGCTATTAAAATCTAATGTACTAAATAGCAACTATCCGTCAGTTGTTAGAAAGAGAGATGTGGAATGTAATTTTTACTACTTTCACAGACCGTTTTTCGTGACCCACTTTCCTTGTGTTAATTATCACGGTTTGTGTCCTGCGCGAATATGAATGAATAATCCATTCGTTTTTATTAGACTGTGTGTTAATTTCTTTCTATTAATGTCTACAGATCTGCTGATCAAATAGACCATACATACAACTTCCTCTCATTGTACAATGTATATCTTAATCAAAATTATTCTATAAATTTGACATAGCAAGTTGGAGAAGCTAAAGATTAATGATCTTATAAAATATGACGAGAAAAATCTTTGTTCTCTCTCTCTCTCTCCCCCTTCTTTCCTCTCCTCCGTCTCTCTCTTTCTCTCTCTCTGCCTCTATTTGTCTATCTGTTTTATATATTTTGTTCCTTAATCCTTCTTCTCCTTATCTGCCTATTTGTTCATCTTTTTAGACACTAAACCGATCAATCTCCATATGCTACTACTGTACCTGATTGTATTGTATATATATTTACTGTGACACATCTTCGATGTAGAGAGAGAATAAAGATGGGGGTATGATTCTTTAAAATGATACAATAATTTTCGATGATAATTTCGAAGGACACAACCGAAACAGCGACTATACGAGCAATTAGATTACGTATTTATATACCAAAGTGTAAATTTATGTATTGAGATCAGTCGTGACTATCAATTAGCCGGTAAAATAACAATGCGCCTGTGACACTAATTATTTAGCGATTTACTGCAGCAGACATGGTACATGTCTGACTTCTCAATTGCTTTGTTTTCTATTACAAAATTATTTTGGAGTTTTTGAATCGATCTCGAACCTTTCTCTCCATAACTGTTTTCGTCTTCATGTGGAGCTGTTATATCGCTAGAATCAGAAAAAAAAGTTATAAACGTTCATTAATGATAAATATTTATACCACTTTTGTTATACTCTAATGATCGCAATAAAACAGACTATACATACATACATATATGCACGGACAAATAATAGAAAGATTTAAATTGCTTCTTGTATGTTCCACCGTTTTTGCTAATCTTTGATATATAATATTTAATGTCAGAACATACCTTAAAGGTTTAAACCTGCCATCGCATACACGACATTTGTCTACGATCCGATAATGAAAAACGTGCATATTATCAGATAGTTATCACGGAAGAAGATAGTCCTTATCCAGTGTCATGTTATACATGGAAAGTGAAATTGGTACGTGTTGATGGATAATAAGAAAGATTCAATTCTGCGTTCGATAAATTCGCCTGACATGCATATACCATAGCTCTAAGAAGACGAGGACTAGACATTTAGTTATCCCAATGTGATCGTTACTTATAATCATTGTGTGTGATTTCCTACATGTTCCTTCAATTCTGTAATCTTTAAAGTCATTTTTCCTGTTTTTTTTTTTACTTTCATAGTATCCATGCTTGATATATACTTGATCCTGTGCGCGCCCCTAGTAAAAATAAAAACGGAGCGTAAGTTGAATGTAAAGGGAGAGTAATATAAACATGATGAAATTTCTAGTAGGTGAAAATTGAGACAATAAAACGTAAAAGAGTTTCTGATTCTGTCACCTCTTCTTATATTCAATTTATGCATGTCAATTTTTATTTTTATCTCCAATAAATAAGGAGTTAATGACGGGATAAAGTAATGAAAAATGTAACAAGTGTGATAAAGTTTTCTTGTGTGCGTGTATTTCAGCGCGGATGTATGCTCGAAAGAGGAGAGAGCGAGAACAACTAATATATATTGTACAGTAAATTTTGTGTAAATTATATTGCGAAATGACGTGTACGTTATTCGTGTCGAATTATTACGGTAACGATTATAGCGCGAGTCATACACATGTACTGTCATATATATATATATATATATTTATATATATATATATTTATATATATATATTCTATAAACGATATCTAATATATTAAAATAAAAATAAATTATAATATATATACATAACGTATTTCATCGCGTTTCCTTCAATTCGTTCGTATTTGTCCGCAATCGTATTATCTAATTGCACTTCATTAGAAGCAGTAAGAATTTGTTTGCGGATCGGTTATTAATTGCGACTAAAAATGACGGTCTGGAACGCGCCTTCCGATCGATAGTTGACTAATTGCGCTCGATCACGTGAGCCGACTACCGACATAATTTCGCAACATTGTATAACTAAGGCCTTGATCGTCACCACTTAATGCGTGCCAGATGCGTGCCGGAAAGGTCGGGCCAAAGCGCACTATAAGCTTGAACACGTACATGGCTTAAAAATCTCGCCTCGTCAGTACTTTTCATCAATTTTATTTTATTTATTTTGTTTACAGCATTTCGCGTTTCTGCATTGCGATACCATGTGCGTCAGACTTTTATTTATTTTACATTTTATTTACGCACTATCTTATTTATGTAACATCGAACTCGTGAAAAACAAGTCATCGGCAAGGGAATACCATTATTACCTCTGTTGTTGTTGCGCGATCTCGTGACTGTGCACAACAGATAAAACGATATCATTGCCAATATTGACAAGCTTATCGTGGACTTGCATATGTGTGAGTTGACTTATTGGCTCTCTGTTCACGTAGATCACTACATCGCCCGCTTCCAAACCAGCTTTATGGGCCAAGCCTCCGATCGTCACCTTGTCGAATAAACGATTTCAATAAGAATGATAAAGTGGGGGAAAAGAAACATAGATAATTTTAATATCACTCCATTCGAAAATTATTACTTAAATACTTCTCGTATCAATTAACGTGATTAGACCGAGATCTGATTAGACTACGCATTGAAAATTGAAATTGAAGGTTGAAAATTAAGATTTGATTAGGATAAAGAAATTTTAGCTCTTTTTGTTTTAATAATCGGAATCAAATTTCAATTTTGTTGAAATAATTGGAAATCAAAATTCAATCTTTTAATCTCAATAATCTCATGAACTTTTTAAATACGTAGTCTGATATCCCCCCCTCTCGGCCTTGGATATTTAAATTTTAAAACTTTAATTAAAGGGTATGTTGAAATAAGAATCACAAGTCACTTATATTGTTCAATATCTACAGTTGTAAAATCAAAATAATAAAAATTGTGTCTTACTCTGACGACAGTCAAAGGAAAAGTAAAGTCCACGCCTCCAGAAAGTCGAAAGCCCCACGGTTGATTGTTACATCGCGATAGTTTAACGTCGGTGGTCATGACGGCATTGTTGGTCGCCATCAAAAGTTTAGCACAATGTTTTGTTTTGTCTGAAAGTAGACTTTGCACACATACTTTCTCATTATCCGCAAAATTACGACCATTTTTCTTTTTGTAAATAGGATGACGTAATCATATAGTTTTTAATGTTAGAGAATGCCAAATCTATCCATTTTATGCTCACCACGACAATCTTGTCACTCAGATCAGCCCCACGACAAACCACCCCGGGCAACACGTCTGAGATCGAGTACGAGCAGCGGCGATCGAGACTCGCACTGATCTCTGCATCGCGATGAGAGAGAGAGGAGAGAGAGAGAGAGAGAGATTAGCTAGATTAGAAAGCTCAATTTATGATACGCTCTAAGATGACTTTCAAGTGCTAAAAAGACTCAATTATACAATGTTGGAACATTGAAATTTAAAGAGTAATATATATGTATACATTTACTATATACATGTTCACCATTGATTGGAAATATATAATACAGTATAATATAATTGAATTACAATTATAATTATGCAAACAGAAAAAGAAGAGAGGGGAGGGATGTAGGGAGAGGGAGGGGAGGGGGGGGGAGAGAGACAGTTGCGCCCGCGCTGAATACTATTTTCAATACGACAATAGGGATGACATGCGCGAGAGGTGCGTCCACAGCTTCGCACGACGAATACGCGCCACGATGAATCAAGGAGACCGCGGGACGGTCGAATCGTTTTCCCGTCGATAGATCTCGACAAAGGAATTTATTGATTAATGCTCTGACCGATCTCCTCTTGACCAAGTTGATCGTCCTCAGCCCCAGTTAATCTCGTCGTCGACTCTTCATAGGATCGGTCGTTTTCTCTACGCCATATACCATGAACGTATCAGGGCGAGGGCGACATTTGATTTCGAGCGAAGGGCGCACGCCCCGACGACGAGGTGACCCCCGACCCCGACCCCGGCACCGATCCCGGCGATACAGCTGAGTTCTCGTTGTGTCACGAGCGAATCCAGTCATTCGGACTCCGCTCGTCCTGGGAAAGACCTTAGACTCGCATAATCTGTACCCTGGGTCATGTTTCATGATCCTATACCGTGGTACGCGCTACCGGGACTGCCGCGCTGATAAATCGCGTGTATTTCGCCCGACTCGTCCCGATAATCGTCCCTTCGGATCTCCCGCTTCGCGCGTCCCATTACGCGAAAAGCGAGGTGCGTTAAATGCCGAGGGTAAGTGGGGCGATTATCTACTGTTCGCTGGACACGATTCGCATTCCAACGTATCTGCAATCCGGTGTCTTTTCGTCTCTCTACCACCCGCCTCTGTCCGGGACTTTTTCATTTTTCTGTTTTTCACATTTTTCCGTTTTTGAATTTAATAGATTATACTCGCAGATGAGGAAGTATTTTTGACAATATTACGCTTTAAAACTGTGTGTGGACCTACTCTTTCGATACTCTGTGAGAAACTTTACTCAAACGTAGTACGTTTTGTGTGCACGCGACACACTTTTGCACGTTAATTTCATTAATCTTTTTTTTCGACACACTTTTATATATTTCGCATGAAAAAATTCAGCGGTGTTGAAACTCCACGATCTTTGTACGGTTTCTCACAATCAGTAACGTTCGTCATGTGCCTTTTGCAGAATACTATAATATATGACAGAGAGTTAGTATAAAAAACAATAAACAAACCGGTGTATTTTGAACTTTAAAATTACACACAGACACACCTACATACATGTACATATATAATAAAAACTGTCAATATTCAGGTTTATCTGTTTTTCGAAAAAAAAAAAAAAAGTGGTCATTCGTAGTCGGCGTCGTAATAGCTGCCTCCGATAAATTACAAATGTGCATGTCCTGCATGTGTACTGTATGTGCGTGCATATGCATTATTTTATTAATATTTCAGTGGAGTGTCATGGTTCTGGTGAATGGGTCTGACATTCACTGTTCACGAGTAACTTCGACTCGCTACGTACGGATACACTTTCGTGCAATCTCTTCGCGTAAGTTTCACTGCTTTACTGCGATATAAAATCAGAATCCTGTCTTTCAGACGGTCTCTGAAATTCAGGATGTCAGGATTTAGAACAGAATTCTTCTAGTGGTTCTTTGTGTCGTATAATATGAAAAAAACATTTGACAAATCGAAATATTGTACACACACACGTGTATATGTATTACTCTCAAAAATATGGATCACTGTATCGATGTGGTGTATTATATTTTTTGAGGATGAGAGTGTATAAAATATAAATATATTTATAGTATATATTATATACATATAAATTATATAAACAAAATTCTATTCTAAAATTTGGACATGAATTACGGATCATTTAATTTACATAAATAATTACGTAATTATTTCTACGTAAAATCATCAGTATGAATCGTACTGAAATAAATTCGCAGAAAACGTTATAAAGAAGCAGCGTAAAATGAGCGTAATTTACGAGAACGCGAGATTGCAGACTAAACTTCAAAATACGGTTTAGTTTGGTGTATCGCGTAAAATAAAGTTAGGAGGAAACACATATATACACACGTATACACAGATAGAGAAAGAGAGAGATAGAGAGATTGGGAGATAGCTCGAAAGAGATACGACGCGCGAGACTCGAAGAGAGGGGGCGAGGACGCAGGTTCTGGGGGTAGCTGTATCATGCCAGTGGCTGCATCGATCGTTCTCTACTGACGCTACAGAGCTCGTCTCCAACGGATGGACAATGCAACTTCATTGCGCCAGAAAAATAAATGTAAATTGCGGCAATGCACGCATCAGCCGTCGCGCGTCGGTGTTATCCAATTGATGGCCAACTGATGACAAGTCGCATATATAGATCTTTAACTGGCCTCAACACTTATTATTACAAGCGAAACTTTCACGTCCCTCTCTCTTCACGTTCCTAATAAATCGCCGTTTTGTTTTGTACGTAGAAGATGTATTTTTTAATTGGACACACGTTAACGAACTTTTTTTCTCTCTCTCTCTCTCTCTTTCTCTTTGTCGCAATCAACCTCGAACACTCTCCAAAGAAAAATGATACGTTTCCTTCTTGTGTGACGTATACGATCGCGCGAAGCAACCGAGATGTCCATGCGGGCGCAAGCAAAGCCGAGGGTTGAAGGGGTTGTCGAGGTTTATTCAAGGTTGGGCAAACCTCACGTGTCGCTTGTCAAAGGCCGAGTTAGCCGCTGGAAAATGAACTCTTCTATATATCACTGACTACTCTATTTTATGATACGCCGGGAAAACGAGACGAAATCGAGCGACTGGGCTGACGATAAGCTTGCCAGTAATATATTCCCGACGCAAGGCGTGCGTTCTACTCGGTTTAAAATAGCAAAATACTTCATCGCGATGAAGGAAAGGAGGAGGAGGAGGAGGAGATGAAGTGTCTTTGTTTTATCGTACGACTAATTAGTCCGGCTAATTAGTTCGAAGATCAATTGTAATCGATCGCCATATCGATAGCAGTGCATAGCTGTGAGATGACGAAGAGTAACGTCTATTTTGCGTTATCTCTTTTTCAACGTAGGTGCGACGGTGTTTACCTAAGAAGTTCCTCCAATGAAAAATCGAGAGGGCTGAAGGTTTACAGGCAGAAATATGCCCGGACGATCGCCAGCAAGGGCGTACGAGCGGCCCGTCACAAGCGGAGGTTGTGGGTTTGCCACCACTTGAATGTCACAGCGGGAGGTGAGATAATTGCGTGAAGATATTTTGGTAATACATGACAAAAGCAAAAGCCTCCTAACAATCTTCCAGCTATCGAATTTCGGTGTTGCAAAAAAATTACCGTGAAATATTTGTTCTCTTCTAATATTATTTACCTAATTTATACCATTAACTCGGAGATGTTCCCTTGAGGTATTACCAAATTACCTTATTAGCCTCGATAGATATTATTCTCAAATAAATCAACACTTCTCGGAGCTTCCGTTTCCTTACAAGAACAAATGACCAGGGCGCGGAATGGGCGAGTCCTGGCTCTCGGTCCTACTCGCTGCCACGTTGACAACGATGACAATGATGGCGGTGACGAAGGCCGATTCATCCTCGACGCCGTCTCTGTCGACTATTCATAATGACATCGTGAATTCTAAACGGGTTTGTCTCCATCGATATTTATTTCGTCTGATTGTGATATAAAGATCATGATGGGAGAAGACAGATGAAATAATTAATGCGCATAACGGCAATTCGCAGTAGAGTTACTCCGAATGTAGAAACTCCGTTGATATAGTAACTCTAATTCGAAGCAATCAACAATCAGTTAGCCAATCAAATTTTGGTCTTAATTTTAGTTCTACAATGTATCCATAACGACTGCATTTTATTTAACGCTCGCAATGTTCGCGAGCATTTGTTTGTCCTTATTTAACATTTAATAAACAACAAAGATGAGATAATTCCACGAGCGTTGTGAGCGTTAAATGGAACGTAGCTTCAAGTTGTTTTACTTGTCTTCTTCCATGATAAAGATAATGCAATTCGTCGCTCTTTCTTTTTAACGTCTTGTTTTCAATTTTTTCGAAGATGGCTATCGAAGAAGCCTTGGATGTGATAGAGGCAGCATCGACAGGTTCCCTGGGCGAAGTTTGCGTCAGTACGGAGGGATTCAAATCCCTTCCTGCTGACGTCGCCCTGGATCCAAGGCGTTACGATATGGCACGTCAAAAAGCTGACATGACCGCTATGGTGCTTCAGAATCTCGGGACTGCTGAAGCGATGCGACGTAATGGTGAGTTAATAGAGTGTGATAAATTATAAACCGGAAATACTAAAAAGCTGTCTACAATGACAGTAATATAGTGTAGTAAATTATAAACCGTAAGAAATCGACTGTAAGAATAATCAGAATCGAATGTAAGAAGAATAATTGTTTATGATTGGTCAATCTCTTACTGCTTACTACGCGATATTACTGCCATTATAAACGATCTATAATGCGTCTACAATAGTGGTTTCTGCACACTGAATGCGGAAATGCTTTCTACGTGGTAAAGTGCGACAAGGTAATCAATGAACACATATTGAGCTGTAAACTCATTGGCTACCGCGTCACATTTTGCCAGTGGAAAGCTTTTCCATGCGGCAAAATGTGACGCGGTAGCCCAATGTGCCGCCTAGTGTGACGGATATCGTGACGGATCGTAAGCTTGGTAGAAGAAGTGAAAGCAAGAAATTGATCAATCACAGTCGATTGTTCTTCTTACGGTTTGTTGTAATTGGTCAATTTCTTATTCTTTTATTTCTTACATCAAGCTTAAAGCCACTTTAACTAACTCCGATTAACTTGATTATCATGAAATTGATCAATCGCATTTGTCATTTCATTTGACGATAGATACAGTTGGCCGATTTCAATGCATTAATCGGCCAATTAAATTAATCGGTGTTAGTTAAATTAATCCTTACTCTACGCGCGCGTACATGTAGACGATGCACAAGGGATTGCGTTCTCTCAGAATGCGACGTACAATTAAATATTTAAAGCACGCCGTTTAACGAAAAGGAAAAGGAAATTCAAGCGTGACAAATGTGATCCGGAATTAGCGTTCTCTCAATCTAATTCTCTTACTCTACTTGCTATTTAATTGACGGCACCTGTTGCGCGTAGAGAATAACGTGAGCACTGAAAGTGATTGTTGAACATGACATATCCGAGATACGGCTGAAGATATTAACGAAATTACGCAGCTCTTTTAGACGCTCTGACCAAGTCCCTGCTAGTGTCGGTGGACGACGCTGTGGAGGCGAGGGTGATCGCGCTGAATGCGTCCACCGGCACGGTGATCACCGCGGTCTGGCTGAAACGTAGCCTTGGGAGTGTCGGTGAGCCTTCTAAGGTCGAGAGTCACGCGGTGCAACTCGGATCGCAACCGGACCCCAGCTTACCGTGGTTCGAGAACGCAGGCAGTAGCGCTGAATTAAGGTTCGCGGCTCGTCATATAACTCATTGTGTATCTGCAGAAGCCAAACTTTCTAAAATCTTTCATCTCTCCATTGAACGTCAATAATGTTATACGATGGCCCGTTATCAAGCGATATAGTTACTGGAGAAATAATAATTCTACACGAACACAAAAAGAACCAAGATTTTAATTCTACCTTTGATTTTCTCGAAAATAAAGTCTCTTTTGTAAAGAAAACCTATTTATATTTCTCCTACGTACTTCTAACATTATTTTCTTTTGACAAAGAGTATTGTATATTCGATCGTTATTCACAGATAATATGATATATAAATTGCAATTCAATAGATGCTATTTATCGTACATTTTTTATTATCTTTTAAATTATATTTTATATTGTCTTTTAATTATTTTAACAATGGCGATTGTTAAGAAAATTGGCATTATTATTCTTTATTTCAAGAATATTTTTATCGAAATTAATATGTAACGATTTGATAATATCCTTTGTGACAGTATCTCCAATAACGGACTATCTGACTATCTTGAGGCCTTATTCTCAAAAAATATCGCATATAAGAACATTGTAGTATAATATATACATATATTACAGATATTACGAATTTTTGTGTATATATATGAAAGATTTATGGTCGGTTTCGCGCTATGATTTGCTGCTCTTAGAAATACTACCGTATCTCTGAATATAAATTTAAGAGAGAGAGAGAGAGAGAGGAGAGAATATAGGCCTCGTATTTCCTTCTAAAAATGTTAGCACGCACGCACGCACACGCACTTTGTCAGCACTATTTTGCAATCTGTCACGTTCATACTTAAAATGTTGTCTTTCTCTTCTTCTTTCACGACAATATAATATGAAAATGAAAGATACGGGTCTGTCCATAATAAGAAGTTCAATTTTATTGGGTGCTTTTCGTTTATCGAGTGTCAGGGATGCGCAAAAATTGTCGACGTTTAGAAAAACATCGAGGTTTACTCATTACTTTTCCAATGTTTTGCCATCGATGTCGCAAGCTTGATGTTTCCTCGATGTCTCATTTCCGATAGCAGTATGTGAGTTTCTTCCAAAATTCACTGATACATATGTGTGTTCTGTTTTGCGCTTACAGCGCATGAGCAAAGCGTGAAAACGGGACAATCTCTATAACGATGACGCACTATGTGTCATACTGCCATAGATTTATAAGATAGACCCAGCATGCCTCCATAGTAGAAGTAAAGCCATAATAGTGAGATTGAGTGAGAACAAAAATGACGGTGAAGTATTGCTATTTTTCTTCATTACTGAGAATATGGGCGCGTAAGAGAAGAATAGAGATTTATCGATGTTTTGCATCTCTCATCGTTCTGTTGGCTTCACTTTTATCATAGTGACTGGCTGGATCTATCCTATAAGTCTATGCATATTGCTATAGATTTCAGCCATTATGCTCCGCTTCGTATTTATACAAATTACTGTTATGTTGTGTCTAATAGACACTGTCTATATAATTTTGTAATCCTTATTTAGAAATCTTTTTTTTTTTCATATTTCTGATGATTCTGAATAATTCTATTTTGATTTAATTTTATAAATTAAATCTTGCAATTTTTTATTGCAATATATTTTTATAATATTAATTTTTATTATCTTAAACATTTACATGATTTAAAAATAAATATGTTTTGTAATGAATTAGTTTTATTCTAGAAGTTAAAAATTATATTCCTAGAATATCATATGAATGTTATTAATAAATTAAAATATTATTGTATTGTATCGAGAATATTATAATATATTTTTAATATTATGCTGCTTATAGGTTAGTTACGTTATAAATTAAAGCTTTATTGCAAAGAAAGAAAGAAAACACCAATGTTAAAGAAACATCAATATTGTACAGCCGACAGTAGTTTTCTATAATATCTTTGAAAGTACGTTTTGAAGTTAAACCTCGATATCAAATATCGAGGTAATTTTTATCGATGCGCATCCCTACTGTAATAACACAAATCAATATAAGTCATTATCGTTCTGTCTCTGTTACTTATTAAAATGGCAAAAAAACGATCTTCAGTAAGAAATATAAATGCTAAAATATAATGCAGGCTATATTCCATTATTCACTGACAGTATTAAAAATCTATAATTTACATTACACACATACCGTAGATTTTCAATACTTGTAGTGAATAGCAGAATGCAGCTACAATTCCTTGCTGGAAAATATCCCCCACACAACAATTTAACTTAAAAAAATATAAAAATTTAATTTGTGAGACGTTATTCTATTCTGATTCTATTAGGATTGCGTTTCAAGACTAAAAATTAAATTCGGCGCGCAGTTTACAAGATTGGATATGGTATATAAATTTACTCCGAATTATTTAAACACTAAAAAGCCCGCTTGATCGTTTAGGACTTTTATATCCTATTTGTTGTGTATTCACATTACGGTTTTAAAAAATACTTTGTTTAAAGTTAAGACATTTAAATTCTAATCTTTTTAATAAAAACGTATTTTAAAGACGAATCCAATATGATTATGATACATTTACCGATTATCTTTTTTGTCTAAATGCCAGAGTAGGAAAAATATTATTATTAAGAAACTGTGTTTATCAAACATATTAATCAAATTAATTACTTATATAATTATTTTAAACCATAAGAATCTTATTGGGCCATATATTTAAATACTCAACAAATAAGAAATACGAAATATTAGTTATCAATTTAGATACGCGATATGATGCTACCCTGTGCAACAAATTTCTTGAAATCATACTACGATACATATTGATTATTTTTGATCTAACAACTTTAATTTACTTACACATTTTAGGAATATTTATCTTTCTTTTTTAAAAATGTAATTATGTATTAATATTTGAAATAATCACATAAAATAAATATTTTATCTCTAAGTTTATATACTACTGCAAAATTTAGATGTGAATCTATGAAAAATATTCAGATATAACGGTGGACAGACCCATATGTTCAATATAATTCGCTGGAAAGGAATCGTACTGGTCTTGTAGGCGCTCCACGATCATTCATCACTCCTCATCCCGTATACAAGCGTCAAGTCATAGAAACTCGATAGATTCTCGCGAACGATATAAATTTGCGATTTTGCAATACTTTAAGAAACTTTCTATCGCCGTTTCGTCACAGCGATACCGGGATGACCGTGAAGTGCCGAGCGTATGACTCGTTGCACGAAAAAGAACGTGTTCACTAGAAGAAATGTCGAAGTTTCTATGGCGGCTTGTGGCGTTTGCGTGTGATCCCAGGTCACCGAAATTCATGCAGTCACCGCCGATTGAATCCTACAGGGGTTGGTGGACCATTCCGTATTTCTCCTGCAAGACCCGCCGTTGGCTCATTTCATATAGCGTCAATGCGAAGCCGCCGGATGTTCGACCCGGGTTGGTATACAGCTCCCACTTGTAAACAAAAATTATTTAATTTATGCTCGCTCGTAGTAAATTACGTTCTAATCGACTCGATCGTTTCTTTTTCTTGTTTCCTTTCATTGAAGAGTACGGGAATTCATCAGCATCGATATCGATATAAGTGGGTTAGAAGTGAACCAATGCGACGCCCCGATGCAAAACCACAATGACGAACTCGAGGTCATCTCGAGCAATCAGATAGCCTTTTTTAAGGGCACCCACAAGTGTCATACCGATACCACGCAAGTAAATATCGTAAACGTACTTCGCGATCTATTACTTAATTTCACGGAAATAGTAAAAAGCGAAAACTTTAATTTTTGGTTTAGTGCGTGTATCAGGGGCCCGGCAGCCGAGTAAACGAAAATGGGGTGGGCGCTGGTTGGGCAAAAGGCGCGTATGTGTGTAAATGTAGGCAAGGCTTTTACAGCGTCAGACATCATCGGTCGGGGTTCGAAGGGATCCTTGTGGAAGGTCAGAATCAGTATAGTTATTCCTCATTATTGTTACGCATCTTACCTTTCACTCGTATTTATTTCAGCTGCGTGGAAGGAAATGAGGGAAAACAAGAGTGACTCTTACGAGAAGGTATTTCTATGTCTGCGCTGCGCACCGGGATGCGCGAGATGCAAAGGCCCCGAGCCTTGCTTGGCGACGTACAACTGGCCGTTTAGGTACACTTAAGATGCCCGTATTTTTTAAATTGATCTCATTGTTCGATGTCGTTATTTTTTAATTTTGTGTATTTATTTTTCAAGAATCTCACTACTAGCCGTTTCAATTTTCTGCGCGTTCGGTACTATCGTTCTGGTGGCGTACATGTATCAACATCGTAAACTAAAAGTATTCAAAGTAGCTTCCCCGATATTTCTATCTATTACGCTTTTGGGTTGCGCCTTGATGTATCTCGAGGTAAGTGAAAAGAACGCTCAATTCTTTTTCTTTTTTTTTTTAATTTGATTGTATTAATATAATTAAGAATTTTGTTGCAGATGGCAGCTATATTTCCGGTTCTTGATATGTATTCGTGCATTGCCACAAAGTGGACGAGACACATGGGATTCTGCGTCTCGTATACGGCGTTGCTGATGAAAACCTGGCGGTAAGTAGCTACGATAAACGCTCTTATATATATTATTGAAAATATGTATATGTATATTAAATCACGCGGTTTCGAGAAAAATAAAATAAAAGCTGTTGTATTCGGTTCAAGAAAATTTCTTTATGAAATGAAGAGATCTCGATCCCAAAATGTAATCACTGGTTTCTTTTTTAAGAGAAATCAATGATGAGGAATTGCATTTCAGTAAATTTGTCGTGACTAGTCCACTTGTATCTTCAGCGTTTCGGTTTTCGTGACTCGGTCACTCTCAGTGATGAATAAAGTGAATACACAACAAGCAAGAAACAAAGTCTATACCGGTCGAAGCTGAATCTTATGTGCTTTAAATAATTACCCTGTGTGACCACAAAAATTTTCCAAAGGGCGCGTGGGTTTGGTTATGTCGGGGGCACGGCCCACTACCATTTCCCCAAGGGATTTGTGGCAAAGTTAGATCGTACAAAAATGGGGAATCAATTTATAGTTATGAATTTTGAGGAATACAGATAGCGCGATTTGAGGTCAAATATATATGATAACAAATATACGCGCATGTTAATATTTTTTTTATCACGCGTGCACGTAATAATTTGCCCTATTCCTTAACGCTTTTGCATGCGGTAAATAGCCAATATCTCAAGCCGTTGAGTTATTTCTCTAATCCCACTCTTCTGCGCAAAAACGTTGCTGTATAGGGCACATTACGACGAGCACTTGTAATGAAAAATTCTATGTGTAGCGAGTGGGGGCATATTTGTTTATAGGTCGGCACGGGCGCTCGTGCGCTCGTGCCCGGCCGCGCAATAAACAAATATCCTGCACTGTTACACTATGTACTATTAAATTAATTCAGCAATTGACCAGCAAAAATCAGAAATCATGGAAAGTAGAGATTTTCCTTTGTATCGACATTCCATCTGCATGATTTGTTGATGAAATTTTTCACCTTGTTCGTCTAACTCTGTAGCAAGCTGCTTTTCAAAGAATTGAAGGTGGTGATGTAAAAAATGGATTTTCAATGACATATGAACGCCGATATTCTTAAAAGCGGTCATCATACCATCTACTAATATACGGTAGTTTTCAACTTGATGTTTCCTGAGAAAATTTGAAATCACAATTAACATTCTTACGTTTATCTAACGCGTTATAAAGTGATACTGGTGCGTGCGAAAGTTTTGATGCCTGATACGAAATGAACACATATATTTACTATCTAGGATCTGTGAAGCTGGCACGACATAAAAATTACAACAGTTCCAGTAGCACTTTTCATAGTTCTACAGTTCTTTTGTTAATCAATTTTTTAATACCTGAGTCCAGCACGACACTTGTAGAAAAAGTGACGTGCTGACTATTTCTATCAGTTTCAACGGCAGTTCTCGTTAGTTCTCACAGAGTTTTATGCAATGCAACCATTTATAAGCAGAGTTCCGGCCTCTACATATTTTTAATCAATTTTTTAAAAGCAATATTGAAAAGCAATTTAATTTGTTAATAAGATTAGACCAACGAGATCTTAGCATTCTTCGTAATAACTAATATACGTAGGAACATTATACGCATTTTTCAGGCAGTGTGTATAAACGATGATAAATGATTTATTAGATTATATAAATTCACATGTAATTATTTAAGGCATTTAAGACTTAGCTTCGACCAATACAGGTTTCATTTCTTGCTTGCTGTGTATTCACATTGTACGGTCCTAGTAATCATTATCAAGTAAATGTCTCTTGTCAGGGTTTCGCTTACGTATCGGGTAAAAAGCGCGCACAAAGTTAAGCTGACGGATAAACAGTTGTTACAATGGATGGTGCCCATTTTGCTGGTCATGCTGATCTATCTCGGAACTTGGACCGTTAGTTCGCCGCCATACGCAGAGGTAATCACAGATAACCACGACTTGAAGTTTTACCAATGTTCGTACAATTGGTGGGATCACAGCCTGGCTATCGGTGAATATGCAAAAACTATCACAATTTTTATCGAGCTGATGGAGTGAATTTCAGCGAATATAATTGATAATTCTACTTTAAGGTGAAATTCTCTTTCTTGCTTGGGGCATAAAGATATGTTACAACGTGCGAAACGCGGAGAGTCTGTTTAACGAGGCCCGTTTGATAAGTTACGCCATTTACAATATAGCCGCGGTGAATATAACCATGATAGCCATTCAGTACGTAGTCAACGCAATGCATATTATTACATACGAAATACGTCTTGCGACAAACATTATGTATCATGTAGAACAACGTTGTCCGTAGTCTCTTCATATTTCCTCGTGCCGGGCCGGACATCAAATACCTATTAGGCTTTTTGCGGACTCAACTTTCAACGTCCGTTACGGTCTTCCTGGTATTCGGTCCTAAAGTAAGATAATTATGATAAATCCAATCAAACTAGACGATTGGACTCTATTATTGTATGAAAACTGAAAAAATTGATCTTGTAACAACTGTACGGAAAATAGTTTTGTTCCTGAGGACTGTTTTTTAGCTAAAATGAAGAAGTTCCGAGATATACAAATTATGTATTATATTAAAAGACAACTTAAGCAGAGTCGAATATCATTTACCTTGGGGAACCATCGGGAACATGAAAAAAATTATGACAAAAGTTAATAAAATTAAAAAAGAGTGTTATCACATTTATTAATAAAAAATTATTAACTGAGACATCAAAATATCTCGAAAATTAAGCAACAAATGTTTTTTACAATATGTAGTATAATTTAGGGGAGAATTTTTAAGCGATTGACAAACAACAAAGAGTCCGATACAAAATAATTAATCGTTTGGTTTCGAATTCTAATTTAGAATAAAAAACATGCTTATCATGTTATTGTATTTCAATATTAACAATACGCTTTTGGTTGCTTAAAAAAAAAAATATATATATATATATATATTCGTGGAATATATTGGTATATTATTTAACAATATTTAATTTTATTATTTTTGACAACAATTTCTTTCATGTCCCCGATGTTTCTCCAAGGTAAGCGATACACTACTCGACTCCGCTTGAGTAGTCTTTTAATATGATACATAATTTGTACATCTCGGAATTTTTTTCATTTTGAAACAGTCCTCTATCTTATATTAATATCCTCTTTTAACACAGATCGGTCTTTTCAATAGCCATTGTTTTTGTTGTTTTTTTGTCCTCTTTAATTAAGTATAGCGATAATTAATTGATTTATTTTTAATCGACGTGGGTGTTTAGGTAATCAGAGTATTGCGAGGCCAGGGGGATCAGTGGGACAGTCGAGCAAGGGCACGTGGCGTCACTGCAAGCTTTTCCTTGAACGGAATTGGTTTGGTACCGGAGGAGACAACAGATTTGTATCAGGAAAATGAAGAGCTTAAGGTACTTGCATGTTGTGTCCTTCTTGTATACATACATTGCTCTATACATTGCGATGCAAAACGATATCGGCAACGTAATCAAAATCGAAAATTGATTTTTTCGCCTCGTCCTGACTTCTGCGTGTTGCGATAGGAGGAGATTCAGAAATTAGCCGCGCGAATCGAATTCATGAAGATAGTGCACATGGAGATGCACAACCGACACATCAAGCCGAAGTTAGGCGGTTATTTCAGCACGCATGGTCATGGTCATGGGCATCCATCTGCCGGACAGAGTCCCATCGCCAAGAGCTCGACGGCCAGTTTTATTCTCAAAGTATGTACCTAAATCATTTTATTTCCTTCGCCGCTTGAACAACTTTAGGGTACACGGAATTTTTTAACTCGACGACATGAATGGAATATAATTTCAGCGTCCTTCCTGGGAGAGAAATTTAATTTATCGTTCATTATTTAACTTAGTATTTTAAAGATTGCTACAATAAATCTCTATTTCCTATGAAAAGAATCTTAAGTAAGAATTGTTAGAAAAAATAGAAAGCCTTCGTCCGTTTTGTGCGTTGTTTTGTGTTTCGAATCAAATAGAGAAAGAAAAGAATTTATATTAATCATTAAAATAATTTCCTTGCAGAGAGATAACTTCCTGTCAAACTCTATATACCTAGTAAACAAAAATGGATTGAAATGTTAGTTTTAAGTGCATCCTTTTCAATCCGAATGCATTCTTATTCATTTATACAATTATATGCAATCATCAATATGGCAGTTCTAAAATATAACGTTATCGTAGATTGAAAAATGTATAATTGTAATTATTTAACTTATTTAATATTTCTCAATTCAAAATTCTAAATAGAAAATGCAGTTTTTCAGAACTGATTATGAGTAATAATCTTTGTGTGATGTATAATAAATTTGAAAGCAATACTTAATTAAGAACAAAGAAAAAAGTAAATTAGTAGAATAGGAAGGGTACTCTTTGTTTAATTAAGCTTTGTAATTGTTTTTTTATGTAACCCATTTCAGATATCAGCCTCTTGTAATAAAATAATTTAGAAGTTCAAAATTTTATTCAAATTGCGAATCCTGACTATCTTCTTAAATCATGATTTTAATTTTTCTGTGTAAATCAATTCAATAATTTTTATACGGCTGTACCGCAACAATAATTTCGTCCATGCAGCATCTCGGACTATGAATATCGGTCTATATCTCAGACAACGTATAAACGTATAAACGTGGATAGCAATAGGATTGTGATATGCCAGAGTTGACCCGAATGCGAGTCAGTCCATTTTCTTGTACCTGTAATCGTACGAGTCCGCTGAGAGAGCGTCTTGGGAAATAAATTGGAGTAATTTATTGAGCAGACGGCAGTGGAGCGAGGTGCAACGGCAGCCGCGGCCGCGGCCGTCGAGGATTCGACCTTTCCGTCCGGAAGTCTGCACAGAGCGCGAAGGTCGGAGATGCTGAGGGAGAGGAAGGCGGAGAGGGAGAGGGAGCGCGAAAAAGAACGGAATAAGGACAAAGAGCAGGAGAAACCGAAATCAAGCGGCGAGAAGGTTTGACTAGTGGTCAATAGCGAGGAGGTAAAGAATTCTGTTTAATCTCGCACACGCTAATCACATAAGAATCGGTCTGAATTAATTTGTTCCGTCATAATTATGGTTTCTCTGTCGACAGGTATGGTTGTGACGAAAACAGTGTCCTGATGAAAGCAAAAAGACGCGAAGAAACCGAAGAAAAAGGAGGAAGAAGAAATTGGAGATATTCAGGTTGTATCCTTTAAAGGATAGGAGACTGCCCGTATTTGTATGAATTACATCAAGCGATCACTGTCTTCGTACCGATGTGATAGCGTAATTACTAGATGTATGATATAGGTATCTCTTGAAATCAAAATGTTTAATAAATCTGAGACACACGAAAAGCGAAAGGCGACGGCGACGGCGAGTATTTTCGTGTTCCCGTTTATTTTTATAACAACAATTGTCAAAAAAAGCACAATTCTATCATACATTGATATCTTGTTTCTTCAAGTATGAAAAATTTTCTACGTTCGAATGACACACGTCCGCTGGCGCGACGGCAAGTCACAAAGAAAATTGTACTTTAAGAATAGGGATATCGTTAACATTATTCCTATCGTGATTTTTTTGTATAATTACTCGTGTGAGGTGTTTTTGATACCCCAACGATTAGATCTCAATTTTCATTGTTCTTTCTCTTTCTCTTTCCCTCTTTTTAATGATTTATAATTAAATAAAGATTGATAATATTTTATACATATCCCATTAGATATAAATGCAAAAATGTGTTTTAAAATTGTGAAATAATTTGGGCAAAATAAAATATTTAATAGTATTTAGCAAATTTATAAATCTGATATGTCTTGAACATTCCATGCGAGGAATAAAAAATTAAGAGATTGAATGGAACGAACGAAACGAGGCAAAATCGCGATATCAAGCTGTCACAAATGCACAAAGGATGCGTGGGCGAATTCGCGAGTCGTCGTGGTCTTTAACGATATATGTACATATTTCGCTTTTCGTAAGCACAACGTAACTTTATTGCGAGCATTCGATAGATCTGTTAAGAAACAGGTGATTTTAAATTATCCTTTCATCAACAGAGACGGGACTAAGAGCGTTTGAGAAAAAAGAAAAAAAACGCGCTCCTTAGTAATAAAAAATTTGAGAGGGCATCTCTTGTCTACAAATTGATTGCTTACAGCACCGTTTGCGTACATCTTATTTGTCTACAGATTGATTGCCTACAAACACTTTTATGCATAAATGTAAAATTAAAGTTAAATTAAGTAAAAAGAGATAATTTGTGTTTTAAAGTAATACTTTTCTTACTTTAATAATCTCAAAATTGTTAATTATTTTATTAAAGGAGAGAGGGAGAGAGAGAGAGAGAGAGGAGACGGATAAAAAATTACCAGATCTTGGCCTAAACAATAGAACATTTTGATTTACGATTTTTTGTATTTTTTAATGTGAAGAATCATTTGTAAATGTTAATTTTAAGCTAAACTGATGAGAAAATTGTATTCAAATAAGGAACATAATTTCGTTAAATCTGATTTTTTATTGCAATTTTCAATATTTTCTCATCAGTTTAGTTTGAAATTAACGTTTCTAAATAATTTAGCACATTAAAAGGTACAAAAATATATACATAAAGAAGACTTTGTTGCTGAAACTAAAATTAACCGTTTTATTTAATATTTTGGACAATGAATAAAATAAGTCAATTTTAATTAAAGCAGTAGAATCTTTGCATTTGAATCATTTGCGAACGTTAATTTTAAGTTAAACTAATGGAAAAATATTAAAAATTGCCATTAAAAGATCAGATTTTGACAAAATTGTGCTATTTTTAATGCAATTTGCAACATGTTCTTATCACATTAGTTTGAAATAACCGTTTGCAAATAATTCAGCACATCGATGAATACAAAAAAAACGTACATAAAGAAGTTCGAAATTTAGGCCAAAATCTGGCCTAAGCATATCATTTTACCTATCATCTTTTACATCCTTACATGTATGTATATTTTATTTTTATTTAATATAAATAGAATAACAAATATGATTTCTAAATATTAAAATGCAAATTATTTTTTGCATCTTTTTAAATTTTTTACAAGGCAAATACCTCGTTTGCTATGTCTTAGTCCCAGCCCTGTCTTTCAAAACCATATGCGTGCAACTGCGTATATACTTTTGCCGAATAGCGTGAATCCTTAGATATTCGATATTAAGGACAATGAAGGGTACAAAAATGCCTTTCTTAAATGTTATATTGTAAGTCGTTGTATTCCCGGGTTTTAAATAGCACCGTTTCTGGCGGTTCCCGTAAAACACAAACTAATATCAGTAAAGCCTAAGATACAATGCGAGGGAATAGCGATAGCGATAAGTTTCAACCTATCAAAAATGTGTATTCCGGTGCATTCGATTTCTGATAAGTTGAAACTTATCGCTATCGCTATTCCCTCGCATTGTGTCTTGGGCTTAACATACACATATTATATCAATGTTATATTTTTTTGCTCAATAATATAACCGTGTGTTACATTACATTTATATTGTTGAGAAAATTATAACATTGATGTAACGTTACTGTCAATTTGTATTCTGCGGGGTTTTATACGCCAGGGTGACACATCTTCTTTATCGACGGATATTTAAATACACAATTTGAATGTGAATGTTTAATTTAAGCGAATAATATATAATATAAGTATAACAGGCGTATACTTTCTTATTTTTGAATGCTTGACAGATTTAACTCGAAAAATATGTCTTTGAACGCGTAGGAAATTGTTTTCATTGCACTTTAAGTTTACAACTTCATTTACGAATTGTATATTTAAGGCGAGATATAATTTTTCTCATACTCTTATTATAACGTCACATTTGTGTAACACGATTTATTCAATTTATACATATTATATTTTACTCGTTTTCGAACGTAGATTCGCATTTAAGGTGGTTTTTTAAGTAAAGTACCGAAAATTTGGAGTGCCTTATCCAGGGCTCAAAATCATAAATATAATAATAATAATAATAATCAAAATCAAATATCTGCATAAAATTTGAATAAATATTAAAACTACGTACATATCTTAACGAAACAGTATGAAACATACGATAGTGCAAAAGTGATATGAAATAAAAAGAAAGATTTCCTTTATAACTTTTATTAACAATTTGGCAACATTACATCGTCGAAATGTACAATCAGGGACTAAAAGGTTGTAACACTTTTTTTTCGGTGAATTTTATGCAGCCTATTCACCGAAAGATTGATTGTTACTTATATCGATCCATAAATAAGAACCAATCGCTCAGTGAGTAGACTGCATTCCCCAGGAAACGCAAATGGATTGAAATGGATTAAAATGGATTCAGATTTTCAGAAATATGCGGATTCATGAATATTAAAATAAAACCTTTTCAATCCTGAATACATTTTTATTCATTTATAGGAATTGCACGGAGCACATCTGTATACCTTACAATCTAAAAATAATATCAGCTTTTTCAGTACATCGTGAATACTGTTCAATTCGAAATTTTGAATAGGAAACGCTGTTTTTCAATCCAATTGCATTCAATTGAATCTAATTGAATCCAATTGAATCCAAAACAAAATTTTCGCTGTTTAAAATACGCATTCAAATAAACAAAATGTCCATTCCATTTTAATTTATTCTCGTTTGCTGGGTCTGAAACTCGTCGAAAAAAAGTGTTGCAACCTTTTAGTCCTTGACTGTATATTGCGAGCAAGGGTGTTATAAAGAAAAATTTTTGTAAAAAAGAAAATTGAGAAAAAAAGGAAAAATTATTCCAAGCCGCAATGAAATCAAAAGCTGTATCTTCAGCAAACGAAAACAAAATGAGATTATATAATATTTGTTTTCCGTGAGTTACTATCCAATTTTGAGTACTTTTCGCACGATTAAATGTAATGCTATAATTTTAATGTGCAGCGTATTATAACTTTGTCTTTTAGAGAAGTCTATGATAGTATTTGTGTGTAGTTAGTCTAAGAAACGTTTAATTTTATATCCTTACGTGTCATTAAGTTATACGTTAAACGTTACATTTTTGCTGTGTCATTTTATCAACCTAGAATTTTGTACACATCAAATTCGGCACTTCAATTTGTTATATAAAGAAATTAGACATTTCTATGATAACTCGATTTACTAAAGAACCATCTTAAAGTTGCAAACAACTGAACGATAATTATTCGTAACAGATTGTATAATGTTACATGTGACAATAAAGTTACACACGGGCTGTAAAAAAAAAGAGATATCAACTTTGCGGACGATCGTAGATTTGTATTCAGGTGGAAAAGAGAATAAATAAAGAAGAAAGAGAAGTCTGAAAAAAGATAGAAATATAAAATTGTGCGTTAAAGCGATTAACGATTAATGAAGACTTTGCCTTGTTAGTTTACACTTTTTTAAGGGTACTTACGTTTTTGTGATAGAACGCTGTTATCATAGATCACGTACAATCGCGGTGTTGATAACGACCGACAGAATATTGCTGTTCGTGTCTAAGATATTCGTCATAACGTAATAATTGTTGAATAATATGAATATAAGGGAGAGGGGAAGGAAATGAAGAACTGATAATAGATATATGTGTATACGTTGTGAGTACAACCTGGAATAAGCATGTATTTGAAGTACTTTTATTTAAAACACATTATTTACAATATAAGTGTATTTTATATTTTGTCTTTCAGCGAAGCATATAAAAGTATTTTATATTTAAAATATCGAAAAAGATTAAAAGTTTTTTTTATATTTAAAATAATACAAAATATTTTCTAAATTAAAATAATAAGATTGTGATTGTCACAGTCTTTTGGTATTTGGAAGACGAAAATAAAATACAAAATACTTTCAATCTTTTGTTATTAAAACTGAAATGTAAAATATTTTTGTGCTCTGCGCTGAAATATAAAGTACAAAATACAATTGTCTCATAAATACTGTTTTTCAAATAAAAGTATAATATTTCAAATACATACTCAGCTCTAACATACATGATATTCGACGAAAATTTATCGAATAATATAACAAACCTTGCGCGAGATTCTATAGGTCAACTTTTATTTTCTTATATATTCTATAGATATTATGCAATATAGCTCCGCTCAAAAATAAAAGCCCGACCGAATTTGTTCCCTTGTGATTAATGATTTAATTAACGATGCTTTTCTAAAAGTCGTTTTAGCTATTCGTATTATCGGAACGTCTTTTCAGATCAGAAAAGATCCTTGCTGTGAATATAATTTTTAAATAAACTTTTCACATTTTTCACACATAAATTTATATGTATAAACGCTAGAAACATATGAAAGTGTCAATTCGCCGAGAAGTGGATTGTCGATTGAAAAGACGGAAAGTTTAACACAATTTAGCGAATTAAAATTTCGAGAATCGAA